AGGTGTCTGAGATAATGGAAATGATAGCACTGAAGATTCAGAAGTAGGTTGGAGCTTCTTCTGGCCAAGCCTCCTGCTTCTCAAGTGACAGAGAAGGAAGAGCCTTGCTCCTTGCTGTCACAGAGGGCAGGGATGGTGCTTGGTGTATGACCCCCAGCTGTAGGCCTGATGCCCGCCACCCAGGGCAGATAGCAATTATAGTTACCATTGGATGCTCAGGGGATTTTCCAGGTGTGGAGATCATGGGTTGGTGTTAGATGGAAGGAGTACCCAATGGATATGAAATCTACCTCTGCCGTTATCTCGGTCCTTGAAGAACTTTCTTCCTGTCCCATACAGAAACTGGGAAGTGAAAAGCCAGGTTTCTAGACTCCCTTGCAGCCAGTGCTCTGTGATTGCCTGAGATTTGTAAGTTTGAAATGACATGGAGGCCACCTTTCCCCTCTTAGGCATTATTGTTGGTAAGCAAAGTCACAGAGGGACTGGTTTTTCCCAGAGTGTTCAGCTTCGTTAAATGCCTTGGTGAAGTCTCGGACTTTACTGGACAGTTTGTTACTGATCCCAGGAGTAGCCTCCCGGGTCTCTCACCGGCCTGACTGAAGGACTGTGTGGAGACCTGGTTTGGTGGCCTTGGTAGCAGTCATCCTGGGAACAGCATTTGGCATCAACCTATGTTCCATGGCATGAGATCTGGTGTCCTCGTCAACACTCGGCGTTGCCACGACTCTCATATTTTGGCTATTCCGTTGGGTGATAACATCTTCTGGTTTTAATTTTCATTTTTTCTGATGACTAATGCTATCAGACACCCTTTGTGCTCATGTCCCTTTGGATGTGCTTTCTTCAGGAGCCTAATCAAGCCCCTCTTGTCTGTTTTCAATGAGATATTTTCCTTCTCAATTATTTGTGGGGTACACAGACATCATGTGATGGTTGGTCTTGGTTGCCAACTTGACAGGATCTGGAATCAAATAAAAGGTGGATACTGGGCTCTCTGAAAGAGATAAACCAAACTCAAAGGCTTCACTTCTAATGAATCACACTGGGGAGAAATTGTATAAATGTGGCAGAGCCTTAAGTTCCCATTCAACTCTTTTTTCCCCCTTTAAATTCTGGTGATAGACAAGGGACTTCGCTCCCTCTGGAGGCTGCTGCATCAGCCTGCTAGAAGGAGTCCCTACTGGTAGGATTAAACGATAAAGTCTTGTGTTTGCAGTTTGGTGAGTCTGTCTCCTTGGTAGTCTCTTGGGATCTTTGAGACTTGGGCGCAACACTCTCCTGTGACAGATTTTCTTGATCACATTATCTGAAGTGGGTGGCACCTTCCCATGGCAGCCCAGAAACAGGAGATGGAGGAAGGACGTTTTATACTTTCTGCCTGCTTGACTACACTCTGACTGATAGGTTCACTCACTTCATGGCTGCCACATTCCCTCACTGATATTAGGGTCCAGGTTTGGGCTTCCAATTTGGATAGAAAACCAAGGACTTTTTAGGAAACCCCCAGGCCTTCACTGCCAAATCGGGACAGCCAAGACAACTAGCCACATGGGTTGATAAACTACTGAGCTCCCAGTCTCACTGGTGTGAGTCAGATATTGTCAGACTACCCAGCATCTCATGTATGCCAGTCTAATAAATCTCCTTCTAATATGTTATACTGATCTAATATACCATCATACTATTCCTGTTCCTCTAGAGAATCATGAAGCATACGCATAGATATCCTCATAGGTATGTGTTTTCATAGCTTGTTATATGCTTTTTATTATTTTAATATTCTCTTTTCAGAAACAGAAGTGTCTTTTAAAAGAAGGTGCTCGTGGGTTTGAAGGTGCGGTTAGTCTTTGGACAAGGTCGAGGTCAGGGCGGTTTCCATGGGCAGGCCTTTTCCAGGAACTTATTGCCCCGGGCATTGTATTGTTTTTAGTAAACATTCTTTTAGTAAACATTGTCTTTCAGCTGCCTACTCCCAGGCAGAAGGGGAAGTGGGTCTCTGCTCAAGGTCTGGTGTCCCCACAATTCACCCCTTTTTATTTTCAAATGAGGCACTCCTGGCTTAGGTCAAGTAAGGTCACCCTCCCTTGCCCATCTTCGGGGGACCTTGAACCCCTGTCTTAGGTGGGAGGGGTCTTCCCCACGGGTTGCCCGTCAACGGAGTCACCCCAACCTTAAATCATCTGTAACCAACCTTCATGGCTATCGGGATTGCCATGGGCTAAGCTAAGCAATACTTGGTTACGGATCTCTTGCCTCTGGAACAAGGCACGTTTGAGCTCGGCATAAAGCCAGAATGCCTACCGCCACTGCCACCATTTCCAGGACCCCCATTGACATAGCGCCTCTCCATCACCGTACCCATCACCAGATCTGGGCCATAACATTCTACCAGCCTTCATCTGTTACAAGGGTAACATGCACGTGATTTACATTCTGTTACAAGGGTAACCCGCATATGATTTACATTTACAATTTGATAAAGTTTACAATCGTTCCAAGATCTGCTCAGGAAAGCATTTAGAAAGTGCACTTGCACAGATACATTAGGTACAATCATTGATGTTACACATGTAACATTATGAAAAATATGAACAATAGTTGTCGCATTAGGACAAGTTGCATTTCTCCAGAAAAATACACTGGCCTAGTCGTGATTCCAGAAACAGGAACCATCAAGTCTGATATTTCAAGTGACCATGTCCTGTTCAATTACTGAAAAGAGGCTTTTGTCACTCATCATAGTCCATACCAATGTCCAAATATTTTAAATGGGTCCTTTTTTCTCTGTTGGCTTCACGATGAAAACTCATGGGTCCGGAAGGTTGATGCAGCAGGTCTGTTGAGAAACTGGAAATCTCGAACCGACTGTTTTCTTGCTTTCTTGGGCTCTAGATTCGATGACATCAAGGGTCAGGAACACTGATTTAGGAGATCTCACTCAAACTGGCTTAGGTAGGCTCCCATGGTCTCAGGTCCAGTTTTTCTCTGCTCCATGCATCTCACTAAATGGTCTGACAGCTGCCGAAGCTTTATTCTTTTCCTGCAAGAAAACACAAACATGCCCTCGACCCCAAATTAGGGTCTTCTCCACTGTCTAGTGTATGGATGTCTCCATTTGACCTGAGCAATGGTTGCTCAAGTTCCATCATGCCAGAATCTATCTGAAGCTCACTGGCATTCACATTATAAAATTTTTAAATGAGGAGTGTATTATTTGATGAGTCATGTGGGGACTGGGGACATTATTCCCCATTTTTTATTTTCTAAAAAAATTTTTTTGAACTGTTGAAGCTGGACCATACCAGTAGAAGGATTTGTCTACCCTCCTTGGTTAACTATCTAGGTAAATTGGGGTCCCTACTTAGATTATTTGTAGATGCCCATTAAAAAGGACATATACTTTAAATATTTCCCAAAAACTTCTGAAAATCACTCAAAGACTGTAAACTATACTGTGTCCAAATAACTTTTGAAAATTATTTGAAGTCTGTGGGCAGTCTTTCCCAATCTAGCCTGTAGAGCTCTCACTAGCTGACAAGGCCTCATTTGCATCTTAAATTTTTCTGTTAAAACATTAACAGACTGGCTGGATGTTCCTTTTGGCTATATATAAAGCAATTTAGGTAGCTTTTTAACTATTTTTGAAGGGATTTAAGTATCCTTTTAATCATATAAGCAGTTCACACTCACGCATTCACAATCACATTTCATACATACCGGTGTGGCCACACCATACATTCAGAACATGCATCTTTCGGTCATCCTTTTTTCCTAGGTCATGATTAGTCTGTTGAAATGAAACTCCCTTATTTGAAATTTATGTAAAAGAACAACTCCAGCCAATCCTTGAACTAAAAAGGGCAAAAAGTCCTATATGTTCTTTATCATTCCTCCATTTGAGCTACAGTCATGGGGTACAGCTGTACCTACTCCTTGTAACTCTGTAGATGCAAGGTGGAGAGGCCAGGCTTTTGGCCAAAAGTTTTTAGAGATGACTCACAAAATAGAATTTAAATACAAACAAAATTTTTCATTCCATATACCTTTGTCTTTTTCTTTTTCTTTACTTAATACCAGTACCTCTTTACTGTTACCAATTTTTTTTTGAGTCAGGGTTTCTCTGTATTGTTTGAGGCTGTCAGTCCAGCCTGGCCTCAAACTCACAGAGATCTGCCTGCCTGTGTCTCCCGAGTACTGGGATTAAAGGCGTGTGCCGCCAACGCCCGGCTATTCACCCATTTTCAATCCAATTTTCAACCCTGGATGTTCCCTCATAAAGGCGTGTTGGGATTAAAGGCGTATGCCTTTTAATTTATATACTGATAGTGTTTATGTTGCCAACATTGTTAGACCTTTAGAAACTTCTCCATATGTTCTTCCAGCCTCCCAGGTTCGTTCCTTATTAGTTCAGCTCCCCGCAGGCAGGGAAATTAAAATACATGCATGTCTCGGTGGATACGTATTCTAAACTGATTTTTGCCTCTCTCCACTCAGGAGAGAAGATGTTATTTCTCACTGCCTGCAGGCCTTTGCCTACATGGGCGTTCCCGATGCCCTAAAAACAGACAATGGCCCTGCCTATGCCAGCAATCGCTTTGCTGCCTTTTGCAGGGAACATCACATTGTCCATTCTTTTGGTATTCCTCACAACCCCACAGGACAGGCTATTGTGGAGCACACCCATGCCACTCTCAAACAGTATTTTAAGAAAATAAAAAAGGGGGAGTATGTTACCTCCCCCAATATTCAGTTATCCACCATACTTTACATTTTAAATTTTTTGACCATAGACCGTAATAATTTGTCTGCTATGGAGAGACATTGGAACAAACCCTCCCAGTCCTTGGGATGGGTCAGATGGAAGGATTTGATTACAGGAAAATGGCAGCCACCCACCCCCCTATTAGCTAGGGTCCGAGGGGCTGTTTGTGTTTTCCCTCCAGGAAGTGAGAAGCCTATTTGGGTCCCCGAACGGTGCATCAGGCATGTCGACCCCAATACTACTCCGGATACTAGGAATGCTCACCATGCTAAAGATGATCCAACCATTGCTGAACACTCAGGTAAGGGAAATGTGGGCGTTGGTGAGGATTCCCCCCCATGTTGATGCCAGTTAGTCATTCCAGCTCCCTGTTCATCAAATTTTATAGCACCAACAATACATTGAGAGCGGCTGCTGCCAATGAGAGATTAAAAAGTCAGAAACTAGACATTCTGAGTTTCCCCCTCCTAAGCCTGATACCAGGGTCAGGAAGTAGGGGAACCCAAGAGAGTGACATCCATTTGCCAGAGATGGTTGGCCCTGAGGCCCCGGGGATTTACCCCCTCATTGGGAGAATTATGATAAGGGGCACAATCAGGGCACTGAGAGGTAATCTATGTAGCTATGGATAAGGGGCACCCAGTGTGAAATTTAATGGAGCGGGCATTTAGATGATACCGGTCATGGAGCTGGTGGGCCAGCTGCCCCTGAGTAAATAAGACCCTAGGGCGGGTCAAGGAGTCAGCAATTTGATTGCCCTGGGCAAGGGGTCCTGGAAGGTTAGTATGTGCACAAATAAATCCCACATAAGCAGGGTGGGAGACAAGTTCCTGAGCGGCACTGGGGGAACTATCTACATTAGCTTAATGGGGATGGGAAGACCCACTCTCTGGTAGTTGGTGGCATTCCATGGGATGGCGCCATGGACCGAATAACAAGGAGAAAGCAAACTAAGCCCCAGCAGTCACCACTCCCTGCTTCCTGACTGTGGAGTTATGTGACCAACCGCTTTACGCTCCTGCTACCACAGCCTCCCCCCCTCCCGCATCATGATGGACTGAGATTCAAAATAACCCCTGCCTTCCTTATGCTGTTTTGTCAGATACATTGTCGCTAGCAGGAAGCGAGTGACTAATACAGTGCGATACAAGCTCCTCACGCACAGGTGGAAGCGGAAGCCCCCATTCATCATCCTGAAAGAAAAACAACACGTTGACAGAAGCCTGCGTCCTGGGAAGGGGACGCTCCCTATCTGCTTCCTGTAATAAGGGTTCCCTGCTCTGCTTGTCTTCTCAGCGCCTCTGCTCTATGTGACATGGACACGTTTGACATCTTGACCACACATTTTGTAACTTCCCATCAGGCTCTGGATACATTCCTAGCACTGGTCTCTGGGGGGGGGGGGAAGCGGTGCGCTTGGCTGCTGAGCGTCTGGGAGTGTGTGGCTGAGGCTGTAGAGAGGCTTCTGTGGAGAGGGCAGGGTTAGCTTTGAGAAACCCACTGAGATGAAACATAGGCTCATGTCACTGAAAGCCCAGCCAAAGGAGGAACTCACATAAATAACCCCCCCACCCCCCGAGATCTGGCTGTCGCTGTGTCTAAGGAAATGGTTTCCATAGGAAACAGTAATAAAAATAGTGTTATTTTTAAGCTGGAAGGAATGACACTTTGGTGTCATCCAGATTTCAAAATAATTTAAAATAGCAGAGGAAATGTTTGGCCATTTGGCTATTCATAGTGTCTTTTGTGGTGTCCCTCCTCCTGTGACCAAATGGAGGCGAGATGGTTCCTCTGCATGTGCTTGGGAGACAGAGACCCTCCCAGCCGCCCTGGGCCACTGCTGTGACTTCTGACTTCAGCCAGATGTCTCCAATCCTTCTCTGTTGAGTGTCTCTAACCTTGAGCTGTGGAGGTTTCTTTTAGCGGATCTCGCTAACAAACTAACACTTGGTCTTTTATTCTCGTATGAAATGATTTGCCTTCAATGAGGACAGTTTTTTCTTTGTGGTACACCTTACATATCCATCTCTCTGTATGTGTGTATATGTATATATAATATATGCATATATACATACATATCTATATCTATCTACTTAGTTATCTATCATCTATTTATGTACACACATATACACACATACAGAGAGGATGGAGTTGTATAGGCAGAGTCTTACAGTGTACCCCAGGCTAACTTGAAGCTCTGTGGCTCAGGCCTTTTTCTTCAGACCCAAGAGTACTGGGATTACAGTTACGAGCTTTTTTTTTTTCTTTCTTTCTTACCAATTGCTGTGTTTCAGTTAGAGCTACAGATTCCATAAGAGAAACACTTGGAGGAAGCAGGTCATCTTTGGGTACTAGGCAGTAGGAAAATGTCTTGGCAAATGGGCATTCCCATCAGTGCTCAGAGAAGGTGAGAGGCTGAGCCTTTGCTCACAGATGTGGAATTGACCGCTCAGTCCCTCTATTCTTCTTTAGGGAGCGTTGTAGTTTGCATTCCGTTGCTGTGATAAAGCAGCCTGGGAAGGAAAGGGTTTATTTGGCTTCCTCTTCCAGGTCACAGTCCATCACAAAGGGCAACCAGGGCAGGAGCTTAGGCAGGGACCGAAGCAGAGGCTGTGGGGAGTACTGTGCCTTCACTGGCTCACTCACTGGCTCCCACTCACCAGCTTCTTCATTCAGCCAGGCGGACCTACCTAGGGATGGTACCACCCACAGTGGGTTTGCCCCTCCCACATTAATCGTCAATCAAGGCAATCTTTTGCAGACATCATCTCAGGTCAGTCTCATCTGGGAAATCCCTGGAGTGAGGCTCTCTCTTGTGGGGTGACTCTAGGTTGTGTCAAAAAAAAAAAAAAGACAATAAAAGCTAATCGGGACAAGAGACAAATTTGAGGCAGTTGACAGTATGTGGGGTGACTTCTACCAGCGTCTGCAGCATGAGATAGAGCTGTGCTCAGAAGGGTCTCCAGGGTGAACTCTGCTGGCCTGAGATAATAGCCATGCACCCCCTCCAGCAGCTTGTCCACCTCAGGTGCAAAAATAATTTCCCACGGAGAGTGACTCCTAGAGCCTGGCTATCCTTGCCAGAGCCACTAGCACTTAGGGCTGCTTTATCATCTGAGGATATGCAGGGCTGGGTATTATTAAGGTATTTCTGTGTCCCGAGGGAAATAAAAGAGAAGATTATAGGAATAAAAGGATGGGGTACCAGTGATGCTTGCTCTTTGGGGAAGGTTTGAAAACAGCTGGGAATGAGTAACCGAGATTGGATGGGATCTACAGATGCTTTGGTCTTATGGGAAAAGGCATCCTCCCACCCTTTAACTTGGAACTTTGAATCTACCTCCTTTGAGAAACTTTCTGGTTGCCCCAGACTAGTGCAAACACTGGCCTGGCTTCCTCAGCACCCCAGTATTGCTCTTAAGCGGGGTATGGGATGACAGGTGAATGGCAGGACAGCCTCAGCCTCAGCTTCCACGTGGATGAAAAGATTTGGATTCCCAGTTATCTGAGTAGGATCAGGAGTAAGAAGAGATGGGTGGAGGAGACAGCTCCGCAGCTGAAAGCAGACACTGCTCTTGCAAAGGGGACCCAAGTTTGGTTCCCAGAACCCATGTCAGGCAGCTCACGGTAGCCTGTCACCCCAGCCTTGGGGTGCCTCTGGGGTCCTCAGGCACTGCACTCATTAACACACACACACACACACACACACACACACGATAAATATTTTTAAAAGAGTCAAAAGAAGAGAGTGATAATGTCTACTTTGAATTATGTAAAGGTTTAACAAAATGAGTCAGCCGGGCGTTGGTGGCACAGGCCTTTAATCCCAGCACTCGGGAGGCAGAGGCAGGAGGATCTCTGTGAGTCCGAGGCCAGCCTGGTCCACAGAGCTACACAGAGAAACACTGTCTCGGAAAAATCAATCAATCAAACAAACAAACAAAAAAATGAGGGTATATTTGGGAAAGTATGGCAGGCTTTTTCAGAACTAGCCAGAGAACGGAAGTTAAAAGGAAGCAGGGTCTGGCCCACCTTCCAAGTCCCCTCCCCCACACACCTGTTCCGATCAGTTTTCACTGCGTCCTTACCCTAAGGTTGCCCGGCTAGAGGTTAGAGAACTAACTAGACAAGGAAGTAGGTTCTGCGGTGGTCAAATGACTTTTTTTCTTGTCTCATTAGAGCAGTCTCCCAACAGCAAATTGTATCAGTAGCTACCATCACCTTTGTTATTGCGAAGGAGCTGCTCAGTGATTTCACTGTCAAGGCTGCAGGTTATTGAAACATCTTTCCCATTAAGCAGAGACCACAGGCTAATTGACAGATAGAACTAGGATGGGGCCAAAAACATCTTCAGCACAGCGCATCAGCACACGTTGCTAAGGCACTCCTCCTAGGGTTTCTAGGGCAACCATCATCTCTGCATCCTGTAAGGCTATTCCTAGCCCAATGATGACGACCGGCTTCGGTACCTGAAGGTCTCCAATTATGCTCACTATCTGTGGGTTTCTTGTCTGCTTTCCCTGCTACACTTTCTTTCCATCAACCCCCAACTGCCTGCCCCTCACCCACCCCTCCTCCTTCCAGTGTTTGCAGAGGACGGTGATGCCACACTCTCCCATCAGTTTCCACAAGGCTCTTCTCTGCAGTGTTGAGCAGGGTTTAACACCCCGTTCCCTTTACAGCTTTGCCCTTTCCCTGCTTCCTTGGAACTCTGCTCTGACTTTTTCTCTTTCTGACTAATGTGCCTTTGCTGGGTTTGCTGGTTTCTGTCCCTTCAGTATCTTCATTCCTCCAGGTTCTGCCCTGAGCTCATTCTGTCATTGCTCTTTATAGTCATTCGTACGGAACCCATACATTTGCATGGTAGGCCAAAAGCCGAGCGGTGGTGGCGCACGCCTTTAATCCCAGCACTCAGGAGGCAGAGGCAGGCAGATCTCTGTGAGTTCGAGGCTGGGCTGGACTGACAGCCTCCAAAACAATACAGAGAAACCCTGTCTCGTAAAACCAAAAAAAGAAAAAAAGAAAAAAAAATCATAGGCCAAGTTGGGTATGGTGGTGTACTCCTCAAAGGCAGATGGATGGATGTAAATTCAGGGCGAGCCTGGTCTCGTAACATGAAATAAAACAGAACAACAACAAAAATATTGGGCCAACCACAGGAAAGCTATATTTTAAAAAGTTAAAACATGCAGACGCATAATTCTGAACCTAAATATTAGTTATCCATCTATATATGAATAACTTTGTAGTTTGATAAAGATTATGTCATTCTGTGCACATGTAGCAGCCTGCTTTTTATTTCTTTTTTTTTTTTTTTTGAGATGGGGTCTCACCATGTAGCCTTTATTCGTCTAGAGCTCCCTCGGTACAGCAGACTAGCTTAAAACTCAGAAACAACAACCTGCCTGTGCCTCCTGGGTGCTGGGATTAAAGGCGTGTGCCACTACACCTGGCTGCAGCCTGCTTTAAAAAAAATCCAATAGTTTAGTCTGAATATTGCTTACATTTTCCTTTCATTTCGGTGACAAAATCCCTGGCATAACAGCTCAGCAGGAGGAAAGATTCATTTGGGCTCATGGCTTCAGCCCATGCTAGGCTGGCTCCTTTGCCGTGGCCTGACAGAGGCTGATGCACCCTTTCAGCATCCCATGGTAGAACAGAGATGCCTCACCTCATGGCAATGGGGAAGCGGAGAGGGGTCTGGGACAGGGATGCAGCCTCAGCAATTACTTCTCACCTCCCAACCTAAGCAGTTACAATTATGGCTACTAATCTACGGGTTAGTCTGTTGATTTCAAAGGAGCATTTATGATCCAATCACCTTTCAAAGACCAGATCCACCGGCCGGGGACCAAGTTTTCAACACTCCTGCTGTTTTCATAGTCAAACCATAATGGATACACTTAGAGAGCAATGTATCATTTTTAGTATCACTTAGTGTGGGGACAACAGACCTTGGCCAGAGACCCACTTCCCCATCAGCCTGGGACCAGGCAGCTGTAAGACAATGTTTACTAAAAACATGTTTACTAAAAACAATACAGGGGCAATAAGTTCCTGAAAAGGGCTGGCCCACAGGAGCCCCTGACCTCGACCTTTTCCAAAGACTAACTGCCTCTTTCTGACTCACCCACCGCTGCCTCTGGTGTCAGGGTATATAATAACCAGCCAGGGTAGGAATAAAGGAGAGCCTTCTTGAGGAGCCTTCTGGTCTCTGTGTCATCAATCCCGATACCCTCGCCACATTCTCAGATACAGGCTGTGCAGCGGGCACTTAGGGTACCACACTGTATTCATTTGCTGGGGCTACCTTAACAGAACTAAGTTTCACTGGCTGGGTGACTTACAGAAGTATTTGTCTGCTCACAGATCTAGAGGCTAGAAGTCAAAGTGTCAAGAGGCTTAATTTTTCAAAGGTGTCTCTTGGTTTGCAGTTGGCTATCTTCCATGTCTCCATATGGGTTTCTCTCTGCGTATGTCTAAGATAATGATTGGGGCCACTATCCTTAGAGCCTTATATCCAAATACAGTCACATGCTGAGTCCTGAGGGCAGAATTTGAATATTTTTAGTTGTGAGCCTAGTCTTCAACGGCTGAGCCATCTCTCCAGCCCCAGAATTTGAATATATGAATTTATATTGCTGAGCCAAAAATCCATCCCATAACAGATACCATTGTTTAATGTGAATCTTCATTCACGGTCATTTAGATTATCTTCCCCTGCGCCCCCCCCAAGTGTTTAAACAGTATCTTTCTAGATTTCTATCATCCTCAGGGGTAAAATGTTTTTGATTGATGAGTAGAGGTTCAGGAAAGACCTGGGGTAAATGACAGCTTCCCCCGGGGATCTGCCGACTAGTGGCCATTCCTTCACCTGTGATCCTCTGCCTGCTGTGGGCTCCATCACTAGTGGAGTATGCCTGTGCAAGAACCCTCAGGTGTGTTTTGGTCCCTGCACGGTCTCAGAGACTGGATCTCACCCTTTTGTGCTCCCGTAGTCTACAGCGCATGCTCAGACTCTATGGAGCTGTGTGAAGTCCGCTGACAGCAGCCTGCTGCCTTACGGTGGAGCTCAACGCTTAGAGGGTTCAAAGTCTCCTTCGTTTGTGACCCTCGGGCTTCTTTCGATTCTTTACTTCCGGCCTCCCCTCTTCCATGCTCTTCTAGTACAGCCTAAAGATATATTTTTTAAAAGCTTTGCCCCCAAGTTTCTGAACATCTGCATCAATAAGATAGCCTGGATCTTTGTCACTCTTAAGACACAACAACTAAAAAATGGGATTCTATTACCCACTTTCCCCTTTGCCAGGAGGATGGATGCTGACTGAAATCAAGGAAGATGGTTTAGATTTTCTTGGGGTGATGGCTTTGCCCATGCGGTGGGGTGGAGCATGTGGTGATGGCCTCGCCCTTTGGCAGGGTGGAGCTTGTGGTGATGGCCTCGCCCATGGGCAGGGTAGAGTGGTGATGGCCTCGCCCACGGGCAGGGTGGAACATCTCAGAAGGTTTCCAGTATTCGTGTATAACCACTCTGTGTTTGCCCAAACCCTATGGCTCACTCTGTTTATAACAAAACAACTGTTGTACGTCTCAGTACGAGCACAGGCCTCCTCTGGCCGCACAGAACAAGGCGAGAAAGGACTTCACTAGTTTCAAGATAGTGCTGGGTCCTCCCTGCAGGGAGAGCGGGGGAAGGGCCGGTCCAGCCGGCCTCTTCCTGGGGGGCTGAGCAGGATGGTGAGTGTCGATGACTCAGACCCTCCCCCCATTAGTTACCAGGGAGAAAAAACCACACTGAGTCGGGAGTCTGTCGAAGCAGGATCTCGATTTATTCCAACCCACAGGAACTTATATAGGACTGAGGTAGGGGATGGGAATCTTGGAATAGGGTAAGGTGACGTGAGGAATTAAGGGCCAATAGTATTCCACCAAGCAGGCAGGTAGCTAGGCAGGGGGCAATCTTTCATCAGATCTGGCTGAGTCACCCCCACGTGGAGGTTACAGGTTAGACACAGGTCGCTAAACTCTAGCCAGGCTGAAGAGGTTACACTAGGCCTCACATCGGAGCCCAAAACTCAAGTCAGGCTCAGGAGCTTACACTGGGCCTTGCATCCAAGCCTTTCTTAGGCCCAACAAGATAGGAAGCGTCAAGAGGGAATTCCCCCTACGTTTGGTGATTTGCAGAGGATGAAGTTTTTTTGTCTGAGACAATACAGTGTTTGAAAACATTTTTACTCATTTCAAAACAAATTGGAGTATGAAAGTAAAGGCATAGTCTTTTTTAAAATTAAGAAACATTGCTGGGATTTAAAAGCTTTAGATAATAATATAATAAAAATATAATGATCTCCCCTCTACCCACTGTGCATCTTAAAAAACAAAACATTACATTTAATTTAAATTTCTAATCCTCTTTTTCTTCCTCCTCCACTCCAGCCTTGCAGAAATAGCAAATATCCAGACTTTTATATTTAGCATCCCTTGAATTTTTTTCAGATTTCAGCATGTGTGTATTTAACCATAAACAATACATCCCAATATATCCTGTTATGATTAATATAAAAACATCATAATATATAGCCTCCAGAAAAATCCTTCATTTCACTGAATGTTATTGAAAAATTCTTACATTAAAAAATATTTTGTTTCGGCGCTGGAGAGATGGCTCAGAGGTTACGAGCACTGACTGCTCTTCCAGAGGTCCTGAGTTCAATTCCCAGCAACCACATGGTGGCTCACAACCATCTATAATGAAATCTGGTGCCCTCTTCTGGCCTGTGGACATACATGCAGACAAAATACTGTATACGTAATAAATCTTTTAAAAACATATTTTGTTTCACTCATACACTGTTCCACCATGTAAACAAGTCATCATTTTCTTATATGTAGTCTCCTACAAATAGACATGCAGGATGTTTCTAGATTGGAAACAATGCTTCAGGTAGCCTTGGGCATGCCTTTCCACACAGAGTGTTCTAGAAGGAGGCAATGTGCAGGGGCACCTCTGCTTCACCTCCTCGGCAGCCTTTGGCATTGGTTAGCAATGGTGGTCTTTCCTCCTCACCAAATATTCTGCAAGGCAGTGGGGAGGAGGTCTGAGGAAATCTCATTCTCTTAGTCAGTCCAAGCTGCTGTCATGACATCATAAACCAAGTGGTTTAAGGAACATTTTTTCCTCACAGTTCTGGAACCTACATGTCCAGGTCCAAGGAACCAAACTATTTTGTTCCTGGATGGGCTGTCTTCCTGGCTTTCAAGCAGTCACCTTCTCATTGATCTCGAATGGATGGGAGCTCATAGCGGAATAAAGATATAGGTATGGTTACAGATAAACTATGCTTTCTCATATTTCTTGTTATATTACTAATCCTATTCATGGGGCTCCACCCAATGACATACTTACAAATATCTTCATTATATGTTATATGTAATTATGTGTTATATCCATTCATTATATATTATATCCACCAAAAGACTGTTCATTATGTTAGGATGAGATCGACAGCATAGGAACTGGGAAGGGAAGGACAGAGACGTTCAACTCATAGCACTTATCCAAAGCCTAAACTGTGCAATGGCTACCCTTAAATAGACATTTAAAAAGCCATGTGTTTAATTATAAATTCACACACAACAAAGGATCTTGTTCAGGGATTGTATTTGGATGCACATTGAATAAAAGTGACAAAATTAATTTTCTGTGTTAAATTATACTCAGCAAATGTTTATTTGGATATAAAAAGGATCATATATATTCAATTTGAGTTTGGTTAAAAAAATTGCAGCTTGGGTAAGTCAGCACTGTCCCCTTCCAATTCCAATTTAACTGCCAACTTCTGTTCCGATTTGATGTTACAACTATGCTTCAAGGGCTAGAGCTAGCCTTAGATCCTCTAAGCATCCAAGCAGGAAGCTGGCACAAGGCCCCTTCCCTCTGGACCATCGAGAAGGATCTCCTGGAAGAGGAGTGGCCTGAGGAAACCTACTGATCCACAAGAGGAAAGTCAATGTGGTAGTCCCTGTATGGCATAGTGGAGTATAGATCCACGGGACATTTATAAAGCCTGCCACGTGATTCCACTGCAGGCCACGAAAGTAACTACATGCATGCCCCACACCCCCGTATAAACAGGTAGAAAATGGAACGAAGTACAGGAGTCAGCTGCTTTTGGGTTGTGTAGCAGCGCCAGATAAGATGAGTATTCGGGCATTCTCTAGTCCTTCAGCAAGCTCCAGAGGGCAACACTCTAGGACTAAATTACTCTACCTTCACA